TAAACGTATATACATATATATTTCCCTCTCTAATGCTGTGTCGTACGTCGTAGGGATATTTCTTCTTGCATTAGATGTTACTGCAACGATAACCGGACGAATGTCGTGAGGGACGGTCCGATTTTCTTCTAATATCTATAAGACGTCGAAGTAGAATGATAAACTGTAGAGACGCGATTGTCGATCGTCCACGCCGTTTAAATTGAAATGGGTTATCGCATTCTGGAATCGTACTGCCGCGTTATGTTAAGATCAAAGATTTTATTGGCCCTGTGAAAATTAATGTTACGGAGGAGAGCCAATTCTGTTAGCTTGAGATTCGCAGGTAATAAAAGAGCACGCGTTTTTATAATTTTCGGTAAATGTACACGGGTGAGGGACGTACGTTTGTTTAGATTTAAAACAAAGAATTTGCGCCGAGATCGCAGTTTTATTTAGGGGCAAGGGTTTTATCAATCGGGACGGATTGCATTGATTTAAAAGGGAGGGAAAGAGAGAAGAAAAATTACGTGAATGCTTTGAACAATTAGAATAACGAGCGAAAGAAGAGGAAGGTAGCGGTTGCTCTTCCGCTCGTTTTCTCGCACGTTCTTTACACGTATCTCGACAAGTACAACGCGGCTCCGCTCGACACACACCTCGCTTTATCCGTAATTTCGTTTACCCCGTTCGGAGCGACTCGCTTTCGGATCGCCGACAACCTCACGTCTCGCATTTCGCACGTCACTAAATACCACGTCTTATATTTTCGCAATCGAGGCTTAAACGAGGGCGCGCAGTTCTCTCCCGTCGTGTTTAATCAAATTTAATTTTATCCTCGAACGCGCCCGTGTCGCGTGGCCAGGCGTAAACGTAGCGCGCTTTCGAAAGAGCCTCTCGATCTCGGCGCTTCGCGTTCGCCGGACGTAGAGTCCCTCTGATCAGAGTCTGGCCAACAGGCCAGTTTCGGCAAAGAGATATGCGAGAGAGAAAGAAATATATTCCCTCTCAATCTGCATGACGCATACGCTGTACGTAGAGTGAGAGGGAATATATTTCTGTCTCTCTCGCATCATTTTGCCGGCCAGACTCTGATCAGAGGAACTCTACGTCCTGTTAGAGTCCCTCTAATCAGAGTCTGGCCAAGAGGTCAGTTGCAAAACAAAGAGCGAGAGGGAATATATTTCTTTCTCTCTCGCATCTTTTTGCCAAAACTGGTCTGTTGGCCAGACTCTGATCAAAGGGACTCTAGCCGGCTGTAGAGTCTGGCCAAGAGGTCAGTTTCGAAACAAAGCAGAGTGAGAGGGAATATAATTCTTTCTCTCTCGCATCTTTTTGCCGAAACTGGCCTGTTGGCCAGACTCTGATCAAAGGGACTCTAGAGCCGAGTCTGGCCAACAGGTCAGTTTCGAAAAAAAAAGCAGAGTGAGAGGGAATATATTTCTTTCTCTCTCGCATCTTCTTGCCGAAACTGGCCTGTTGGCCAGACTCGGATCGGAGGGACTCTACAACCGGCCAGGCTCTGATCAAAGGGACTCTAGCCGGTTATAGAGTCCCTCTGATTAGAGTCTGGCCAAGAGGTCAGTTTCGAAAAAAAGCAGAGTGAGAGGGAATATATTTCTTTCTCTCTCGCATCTTCTTGCCGAAACTGGCCTGTTGGCCAGTCTCTGATCAAAGGGACCGGATGTAGAGTCCCTCTGATCAGAGTCTGGCCAACAGGCCAGTTTCGGCAGAAAAATGCGAGAGAGAAAGAAATATATTCCCTCTCAGTCTGCATGACGCATATGCTGTACGTGATAGTGAAAGGGCACATATTTCTGTCTCTCTTGCATCATTTTGCCGAAACTGGCCCGTTGGCCAGACTCTGATCAGAGAAACTCTAGCCGGACGCTCCACCGGATCAGGGGCGGTGTCGCGTAGGACTTCGGCCGCGGCCGACGTTATTTGCACAGCAGATTAGGTAAGGGTTTCTCCCTCTGTCGCACGTAGTTTTACGATGTAGCATGAACTGCGGTCTGCGAAATCGCGAACGTCACAGGCGCGCGTTTCGGCGAGAGGGGGGGGAAGGAGCGCTCCGCGAGCGAAATTTTTTTTTTGGGGAAGGAGGCAGGGGAAGGGGGCGAGCGCAAAAATACGACGCCGCGGTATTTTCCACGATGAGCTCATTGGGGATCATTAATCTCTCAAGGTTATCAGACAGCTCGATCGGTGATTTATTGAATACTTAGGAAATATGATAATATTAAAGACCTCGATTACATTCGTAATCGAAGTCTTCATATTATCATACGATTGATTTGCACTACTAATGACGGCATACTATCATAATTAATTGAACACGTTGGTTTCATTATTATCATATTATCGAGTGTTTTATCGCAACGTCATGTTAATCTCATTGTTCCAAAATATCGTCGCGCATTGGACGGCGCTACCGCAAATTACTATTTTTTTAAGATTTTACAAACATGCGTGTGTGTATATATACTTATAATATATATGCATATACAGGGTGTCCTAAAACCACCGGAGGTCCTCTTAATCACAGATTCCTTAGAACATTTCCAGACGAAAATCCTAATACAAAAGTGTCGAGGCTATAATAGTTTTTAAATTAGAAGCGATTATTTTTCACAAATGATAGGGCTGAAATTTCGCGCGCTCAGGAA